GCTGTTTATAGTAGATCCAATCTGATTGGTGTGACATACATACATCTCTCACTCACTCACTCACTCACTCACTCACTCACTCACTCACCCACCCATTGACCCGTCCATAACATAGCCGACACGCCGACTAAGAGGTATTTTTTTTACAAAAAAATAACTCAACAATTATTTTCAATACCTTGCAGATTGATTTTACTTTTGAGACATACGACAAATTTTTCAACCTAAGTCTTGACGTGAAGCAGAAGTACACCAAGAAAACTGGCACAACTAAAAATGGCTGGGATGAACTTGAAAGAGAAAGGTGTGTTTGTGTTTTGTGTGTTGCATCTACCACTCAATAACGGTTACCATAATTATATAGCCAGTAGTCTCATTGCCCCAAGAATATTTAATCAGCAAGAACTGATTTTATTTCAAGGTTTCACGCAATCGGAATTCCATCCGCGCGCAACTATTTGTTCAAACAAATATGTTAATAAACAATCACACCTCTCACAACATATATAACACTGTTGAACCGTTATTTTCTTGTCACTTGATAATGATGTCATGACGACATCGAAATGTTGTGTAAAATTTCTATCGCTCATTTTTATTTTGAAATGTTTATCGAAATTTAATCTCATTCTTAATAATATGGGTTTCAAATTGTTTGAATCAGTTGATTTTATTTTTCTTTGTTTAAACATATTAAGATTAAAGCAATTCAAAATAGAAATCAAACTGCAATTTCAAACCCATTAAATTAACAAATCAAATTTAAAGCACAGCATATCTAGTCAAACCTCCCATAAGTGATAACCTGACTGTTACTGGCAAAAATGAGGAAGGGCTAGGGAGGCAAAAAATATTAGGAAGAAGGGGAAGGAACGGCTGCTATAAGAACCGGGCTTTCGGCATCATGCCGACCAATTTTGATGTAATCCAATTTCATCAACTGTCAATTATCGTCAACAGGTTTACCAATCAGAAACTAGTGCATGCTTCTAATTGGTGTCGCTGATTTCCTGTGGGATTTAGTCAATTGAAATTATTTCCCACTGGAAAAATTTCAACATAACAACATAACAACATAACAACCATGAGGTTATTTTAGCATGGAAATGCCCTCTACTTCCACAAAAGTTTGAAAATAGGGAGTAAAAGGAAGGAATACAATTGCAATAATTTCTGCAGGTTCCGTGGCATTGAGTCTGGTGCAAAAGCAGAGAGCGTCTTTCCTATAATTTACAAAGTCCAGGGTCTGTATAGATATCAGCACCCCTGGGCATTTGACTCGATCATAGATGTTCTCAGGGGGCAAGAATTTGAGAACAATGGTTGTTACATACTGTTGTGGGAATTTAACACCATCTGGGAGAGGAGGTGGCAAATTTGAACCAGGTGTCTCAAAATCTTCCTATTCTTCTGCAACAAAGCTGCTCATAAAGATTGACCTCCAAAGTTTTTTGTTGCTTGTTAACATACTTGGGATGTAGTGAAAGCTCAATGCCGCTGCACCAGGGTGAATTTTTTCAGTCATTTTTGCCATGAATGTCTCTATGGTGAGGATTTTGGTCACCTAGTGTGGGCATTTGATCACCATTTTCACTCCCCCCAGGGAACATGGATGTGAACAACCAAAATTTCAGACTGCAAGTTGTTAAACAATTGAGAAGAATAGCCCCTAGCCAATAAGCCCCCGGTGTCCTGAAGTTGATTAGCTCCCAGCTCCCACTCATTACGAAAAAGTTCCATAACCAAGTACCATTATTATTCTTGTATGTGACATAAGAAAATTGTCAACTGACGTAATATAGGGAAAAATAGTTTGGTTTTCATCAAATTAAGTTTTCCCTCGTCACACAGGTTCCCCAAGCTATTAAACGATTACAGCCCCAGGACTGTGCAGCATTTGATAATTAGCGTCTCACTCTCAGGGAGGGCATGACAGTATTTTGATCCATGCAAAATTACACTGTGGGGCCTGGTGAAGTTGGTTTTCACACGAAAAGTCGAAATTAAAATTGACAGTAATAAAATGACTATTACACTGACACTTGTGTCACTTGTTGGATACACATTGTTTGATAGACAACTTGGCCTACGCGTTTTGTTGACTGTCTGTCGTCCCATGTTCAACAACAGAAACATGGAACATTCCGGAACATCCCGGAACATCGAATAATTACCATAATTATGCGAAAAATATGTAAAATGAAATTTGAAAAAATTAAATCAAACAAAAATAAACTGGTATCAGCTTGAAATATGAAAAGATATTATTGGGGATAGGGGAGTCGGTAGCAGAGGGGTAGAGAGCGTTGGGTATTCATTCAACTGACCACAATGAGCGCAGGCTCCTCCTCTTTCCCGCCAATTGCGTCACGTCGCTTTTCAGCACTCTGTTTTTCAACACAAACATGGACGATTC